CAGTACATTAACGCATACATGTTATATAACACATGGCGTTAAAGCATTTTCAATAGGGTTTCGTCAACATTTTGGAAATAGGTCCATTCTCTCAAACCACTTGACAAATATTTACTCATTTAGATATGACTTTTGTGGGGCAAACTAATTTCACAGTAAGTACTTCCTGTGGTGCGCCAGATGCACTTTAACTGAATTCATCCTTCATCCTCTTTTACAACATATTTTTAGCTGTTAGATGATGGTTCTTATCAATTGCGAACGTGATAACTGTATGTCTTCAATATTTACTGAAGAAGATTCTAATATTCTAATACACACTAGATGCTGGTCGCTACAGCCGTACTTTCATTACACACGAACGCTGTTTTATCTTCTAAGTCTAATTGAAGATACAGAAGAAAAGTTTCAAGGGTAAATGAATACTACTTGTAAATATGCGAAGCCCACGTTGAAACGATATTTATACAAATATTAAAAATTGGTGCTAAATCCAGATGATCATCTTCAAGTGTAGAATTTTATGAAGTACGGTATTCTTGTCTCTTGCCACTGGTTCTTTGATAAAAGAGCAACATGTACGTAAAGTCATGTGGTATTAGGATCTACGGATCTAATTAAAACTTTGATAAAGTCGAAATGCTTTACGTGCTAATAAAGCACATAAAGCCATTGTTTAACAGTTGAGAAAGTAAAGGAGAGGCATGATCTTTAAATTTTGATTGAGCTACTAATATGGTAACTGACAATGGAGTGCTTTATAAATTTCAATCAACAGCTACAATCACAGTTTTCATTGTGTTCAAATAAGCAGATTAAAAATCCGAAGTTATCTACAAATAAATCATTTGAAAGGAGCTCTAAGACAAAGTAAGTTATTTTCAGGCTACTCATACATGAGGTGGAATTCGTAAGTTAAAATGTAAAACATACAACCACTTGCTGTCTAAGAATGAATCGCAGGAGAAACAGTAGCCGCTGAGAGGAAGTGGCTTTCAATAGTCACGCCAAGGCAATGAGAAAGCAATGAAACAACGAGTGGAGTGACATTGCCGTAAAATGCAGCATTGAAGTATATACTGTCTTTGTCTCCCTTGACTCTTTATTTATGCAACATCAAAAAAGATAGATTATTTTGGACAGGACACACAATTACCTACACCTCTTTCTCAATTTAACCGTGTGATCTAAATTTAATTGCTTTGTAACCGAGTGCCACGAAAGATCAAGAAAGGCAAGTGAAAATGACATCATAGACTTTACAAACCACCGTGCTCTAGCTCTTTAATGATGTAAACCACATTTGCTGTCGAGAAATTTTACAAAATTTTTGTGTTGAAGGGCAGTTATCGCTCATTTTACCTGGATTTCAGGAACCATGTATAGGGGCATTGCATTTAATATACAACGAGAGCACGAGAGCGCAGACCTCCGCCAAGGCAGCGATTTTTGATTATTATTGATTATTGATTGACTATTGATCCGGATCACCACCATAAACTAATCATCTCTTCCTTGGCCCACTTCTGACAGTTCCTGAAAATTTCATCAAAATCGGTCCATAACTTTTTGAGTTATGTTGATGACAGACAAACAAACAGGGGTGAAAACTTAACCTCCTTGGCGGAGGTAATGAACCTCAACGTCAATGTAAAAATCCACACAGATTCGTGCATCTGCCTTAAATAGGATTTTTATTGTTTTCTTTGTGATGATATTGGAAACAATTCAGTAAAATGTTTGAATGAAAAAATGTCATCTTAATAAAAATTCAAAGTTAAACTCTTGTGGCAAGTAAAATTCAGATCAATTATTTCACCCCACTGTTATCGCATTCTAAAACTCAATGAACTATGGTGCTTAAGGTAAAAGAAGCACACATGTACTTTTTCTAAAAGACAGCTAAGCACGTGCACCTCATATTAATAGGTGTAATTCGCAAGCAATACAGTTAATGATCATGTGACTGCCTTGCGCCCCGCCAATACTTGTCGTGTACATCCGCCTCCGTTCACTGTTCACAGTTTGAAGATTTTCGGATCATTAAAACTGATGAACTGCGGCAAGATGTACTTTAATAGGATTATTTACACATACATGTATGTCAATCGGACTAGGAAGTGCACAGTCTAGCTCTTCCTTGGGTTAGTGCAAATATAAGTTGTCGAGGCATTGTGTTGGGTAATATTCTAAATACAGCAACAATGCCTAGAATCCTCTTAAGTCGCCTAAGGTTGTTTCACGTAGTACTGCCTTTGCATAAGTCGCACTTTTGCACTTATGTTATTTCTTTACATAACGTTTCTTCGAATTCAGAGCTTCCTATTTATGATTCTCGATTTCAAAAAACTGTCTCAAGTAGGAGCTTATTATATAGACAGTACTTGATTTCAATAATGACCATGCACAGGCGTATAATCTGGCCATTCTTCTCTTTGATCACACAACAAAATTAAAAGCCGGAAATGCATGAATTTTGAGAAGCATTTTTTATCTTTCTTCCTGACATTGACAAAGCGCATCAACAACAACAGTATAATGAGCAAAAGCGTCATTATTTCAGATCAGTTTTCTTGAATGAGTTGCTATTTTTTCTGTTGTATACAGCACATCGCATCATTTATCATCATTTATCAAAGACATCTATTCCGCAATAAAAACCATTAACTTTTCAATTAGTGATGAGATATGATACTAACAGTAATGTACCAACACTAACATGTGCATATACATGTATATCCCGCTCGTTAGCGAAGAAACGACTCCCCTTTTAATTCAACGGTACGCCCACCAGAAGTTTACCCTTGGACGAAAAATCTTACAGGGCACAATTTAACTTTGTCAAATAACGGAGACCTCAGGGAAAACAAACAATAAAGGAAAAATTATAAAAGGTGTCCTTTTACTAATGCAGAATGATTATGCCTTTACCCAACAATTAAATAGAATATGGAATTACCGCACTAACGTATTTAAGTGTATTGAATGTTGAAATTACTTTAAAGGACAACGAAAATGTGTCCAAATTTGATAGCTTTCAATTCCTTTGTGTGATTTCTTTGATGAACGCTGGCGATTAAAGTCTTTGGCCTTTGTCATTTTAGGGAAAGAGGCTAAAGCTGTGGCCTTTATTTTGTACGAACGAAATATGAACACATCCCGAGGGGTTTCTCTTAACCAGAGCCGCCGCCCGTTGGAGACATCGTCTAATTTTTGCCATGTAAAGGGGTCCAAAGACACATGCGTCCTTCCTTTTCGTAATTGTGGCTTTCGTCTCCAGTTCCATGCAATTCCTTTATAACGTGACTTTTAAACATATCAGAGCGGTCTCGAGCAGAGTGGTTTAGAACTTTAAAAATACCACCAATACAAGTCTATTGTATCTCTTTCCATAAATAATGTCGTGCAACTTTTGAATATTCATGAACGCGTTCAAGTTTTGGAATTTTGCCGGTGGGGGATGGAGTTTGAGCGTTGAAATAGGCACTTGCGCAATTATTGATCAAACAATAAACCGCGTTATAAAAGATTAAGGGGGACTTAAGCCAAAAAATGCTCATAAACCCATAAAAATTCCATCCCCGCGGATTATTTGGATTAAGTTAGACCTTAAGTGTATCAAATTACCCATTTCTCTGAATATGAACCAAGTTTCATACCTTGAGTGGCCATTTTCCTGCTGCAAAAACACCATTTGGAGATCGATCTGCCTTATGTGCGAAGCTGATAGCCATCATATTGTTATTAATCATGTCGCTTGAATTCTGCTCAGTGGCAGAACAGAGAAACGCAATTTTCTTTCCCCATAGCACATCGACAACCATGTTATAATTAAATGATAACTCATTCAGAAAATGTGTTATAAGCGTAAATATTGTGTCCTTTAAAAATTTCAATATTTTCTGTCGAGATAGACTGATTGCAAATTATCGAAAGACAATATCAAAGGGTGGAGAGACATGAGTCTTCACTAGATCCGATCATTAGAATGAAGCCGGAAAGAAAAGGAAAGATTAGTGTGCGGAGTGACATCGCTGCGTCTCCATGATTTTGCGCACACACTGAATTTAGACGCCAGCTCGTGCGCGCGCACACACACACACACACACACACACAGAGAGAGAGAGAGAGAGAGAGAGAGAGACTTATTGATAGAGCCACTGTAGATTGCTTCATCCGCGCATGCCACATTCTGCCTAAACATAATGGACTAGGAGAAATAGATATAGATATAGGTTTTTCATTAGGTCTAACGACCTGCTTTTAGAAGGCTAATTTGGCAGATCAAACCGTCTTAATTCAATTTATCTTGATTTTCAGCATACAGTGGTTTAACAATGTGACCCCATCGAAAATTAAGCTAGAACAACATGTCCCTTATTTTATTGATCAAATCAAATAAAAGCCGGAGACCAGAGACATTCCAAAACTAAAGGATAATCTGTGTGAAGAGGCTGCTTTAAAAGTAAACTATTTTGAATTTAATTATTTTAAATGCATTTCTTAAAAAAGATAAAATACACAGGTTTATTTAACCAGGCGTGTAGCCAGCAATTTCTGAAAAAAAAGAGGGCCTTCCCACCCAACTTGAGAAACTTAAAAAAAATCATTGCCTACTGTTCTAAGTTTACTTACATGTATATATCAAACAGTTGAAACCTAAGACAATGACGTATTTATTTTTTATACAGTGAACCCTGTACAGAATGCTATAAATTTCATGTTCCTTTTACTTGAAATCCATACGTACATTACGCAAAACAGCCTGGATACCGAGAGCTTTTCTGCAAAAGATATCAACATCAATAAAAAGCCTGCCACTACGCTTTGTGGTCGAAATGTGAAAATGAATAGGCGCTTTTTACGCATGCCTTCTAAATGGGTTAGTCATTTCATAGCAGCAATCAGGTTCTGCCAATGATTGGCAACTTTCGTTTGTTATCGAAAATTACGCCGTCAGAGTAGCTGCTGCAAGCGAACGCGCTTGGAGTGTCGTGTTCACTTCTCACTTTGAAGTGCAAGTATTCTCTTTGTTCGTGACTGACAAATGTCAAAAAACACTCATGCCGTAGGTCTACCAACGGGAACTGTCTACACATTACCGGTACCACAGAAGTGAGCAGAGTATGAAAGGAAAGGTGATAATAGCAAGAGATAGTGACATAAGAGACTGTTGACGTTCGGTGGGCGGCATTAAACGGTCTATTCTGACGCTGATTGATCACCATGGCAGAGATTCTGATGGGTTTGAAAAATAAGGTATTGCTATGGAGCCATTTAAATGAAGAGACAGAGTCGTTGCACCTCAATCACACAAATGTTGCCGCCATGATCACTACTCCGGCCATGGAGGCTGACAACGAAACCTACACCGGAGACGACAGCGGTCTCCGCGCACAAGCCATCGCGGCCATTGTGGTCCCCATCATATTTGGACTTATATTCGTTGTTGGCATTTTTGGTAACGGAACCCTCATCTTCACAATTTTAAAAAACCAGTCATTGCGGAATGGACCGAACATTATGATTGTGAGTTTAGCTGCTGGTGACTTTCTCCTTATAGCTATATCAGTACCGTTTCTGGCGACTTCATATACCTTTCCGTACTGGCCATATGGGAACTTCATGTGTAAACTGACAGAATACCTTAGAATAGTAAGTTTGGGTATATCAGTATTCACTCTAATAACGCTGAGTGCTGACCGCTATATCGCCATCGTCAGCCCGGTTAAAATCCACAAGGCCAGCAATTATAGGAAAACGCTGATAATGGTGGCATCCACGTGGATCTTGTCGCTGGTGCTTGGAATCGTTACAGCAGTTTCCTTTGGTACCGTCACCGAAGACGGAGTAGAGGGTAGTGCATTAGAGCATTGTTACCCGTATGCGCAAGGCTGGCCCGATTGGTATCCCAAGTTTGACGTTCTGTTCAAATTTCTCGTGTACTTCACCCTCCCGGTTTTGATAATAGCGTATTTCTACATATCGATGGCCATTTCGCTGTTCCACAGCGCCGACCGTATGCCTGTGGAGGAATGCATGGACACCCGGAACACTAGCCATTACCGCAAACAAATAGAGGGGAGAAAGAAAGTTGCGAAAGTGGTTTTGTCTTTTGTGGTAATATTTATTTTATGTTGGCTGCCTCGCCATGCATACCTGATCTGGTTCCATGTCGACGAAAACGGGAACATGAACCTCTTCTGGTATGTTTTCAAAATAGTTGGGTTCTGCCTGGCTTTTATCAACTCTTGCGTCAACCCTCTGACTTTGTACATCTTAAGCAAGCAGTTCAGACGACATTATAACAGGAGCGTGTTCTGCTGCCGTCGATGTAAGAGACAGATTCCAAAAAACGGACAGAAATCCCAGAGTTCCTTGGGTTACCAGTTAACAACCGCCGATGGGAACGGCACAGGAGCCCTGGTGAGACGGTCCAGCACCAGCCTCACCGCTCTACAACACACTTGAACATCGAGGAGGACGAAGAAGAGGCGCTGGAACTGGAGATACGAACTCTGGGAGGGGGTAACTAAAGCTCTATTCTCATCAAGAGGTACATTTAAATAGACCGGTCCAGTTACAAACAATGCCAACTTAGTACACTGGCTTTCAAGTGAGCTAATCACCTAAACGGAACCCCCGTGCTCGACACAGCCAATTAATATACTTAGCAACAGGAAGGGGACTTGTAGAAAACCTGTGAAAGGTAGTAACCCCCCACCCCCCTGTAGCGTTATAACATCTTGGGACCTCTCAGATTGGACCGATGTAACGAAACCGAGAGTACGTGTAACAGAAAGTCCGCCAACCATTTAGTTATAATGGTTAGGGTAAGCCGGACGTGAGAGGGTCAAAATCAAGGGTGAGGCTTATCTGAACAAATGAATGGGAATCGGACTCATGGGGGGACTCTCTGTTACGTTACACCGGTCCAGTTTAATGTACCACTCGAAGTGAAAAGGTCCCAGATCTATTGTAATTTGTAGATCGCAGTGACGGTTGTTCACTTTATAACATTCTGTGTTTAGGTGGTTGTGATTTGGCTGCGTAATTGAATAAAATTTTAGAAATACTGCCATTTAAATGGGCACAAAATGTTAAATTGCCACGTGAATCACTTACTTAACGAACTTTGCTGGGGCAAGTGGTATTTTTCTCTTACTAACCATCCTTTGATACTCCTTACCTGTCACTTGCAATAACCATCTGGGGAGATTAAAAAGTCCTTAACTTACAGAATGTTTATTTTATTCAAATTTCGGTATCTTGTCTAGCTCAATTCTCTTACTGACTTTCCACGTGATTTAAAACTGTGACAAGATGGTTGACGGGAGACGAGAATCGTCAGGATGAGGTAATTTATTATTTTCATTTATTTATGTATTATAATTAATATTATTTTATGGCAAATACCTGTTAAAATATTATCAAAACGTTTAACTTGTTCCCAGAGATGTTCAAAAACAAGAAGCGGTTTTTATATTTAACGTGTGTTCAAAATCCTGCAATTTGTCAGTTCAATAGAAAGCTACATTGTTAAGATTTATGGTAGATATTGGAATCAATTTTCGCCCAAGTACATATGGACTGATGTGATATACGTCTCATTTATTGCTAGCACCTTGGTGATAATTGTTAAACGTTATAATGTTATCAATTCTCACAATATACTGGATTGAGTTTTACAATACAATACAATACATTTTATTTCGTGTCGGGTATAAATCGAAAGGAAACATTAGTTTTGCAGCTATTCATCGACTGAGTTAGGACAAACATTTCTACAAAAATGCAATATTTACACATTTTTAAGTCAAAAGGAAAGATGTTGTCTTTAAATTGTAATTAGGACCAATTCCACACCAGGGGTCTGTTTCACTGAAAGTATACAAAGAATTTAGCCAACTAAGACTTGTCTTACGAAAAATAAGCCTACCAAGACTTTCTTTTTGCCTACAAAGATGCGTTTACGCAAAGAGCATTAAAAGCCACTTTCCATGTGGTAACAATAGCCCAAAAAGATATATCAAATACAATTATTGAGGTCCACTCAAACTCAAAGACAAATATCACAAAATCGACATTCCGTAGTCGTCTATTTGATTTTAGAAGTCTAAACTTAGCCCAAGAACGTAAGGCTTTCAATGAAGTATGGCTCCAGACATCTCTATATGAGGTAGACTGGAAGTTCTCTGGGTTTATTTTTATAATATGGTCCCTGGGGAGCTCCTTGCCCTCGGATCCACTAGCCCCCAGCAGGGGAAATTTTGCCTTTGTTGAATATACATTATTTTGGGAATTGTATAAGGGGAGGAGGATATATTGAGAACCATGCCTGTATACAGAGCACTATGTATTTATTGTACGTGATATGTTCTTGAAGCATATATTATGGTCTAAATGAAACTAAACAATAACAATCTATAATGTCGATATGTCAGGATATTATGACCTATGTTATAAGCATATTTATTTATTAGTTTGTTTGTTTGTTTGTTTGTTAATGGATATATAAAGTATTGAGGCAAAATGCCAAAAACGACCTTGTGAAGAATTTGTGCTCATAAATTGTCGCCTATGTCACTTACATTATGGAATTTGATTCAGAAATGCATGGTGTAATTAGCAGCATATATCGACTAGCCTCTAGGGGGTAACGTGTTTGAAATTAGATAGAGGTAATATAATTAGTGTGAAGTGCTAGGTGATAAGTCGACAGCTCATATATCTGGCGTTAACATCAGTATCTCACAATTATGGCACGGCCATATTTTAAAGTTTTGATTTAACGACTACCTTTGTTCCACTATGAATTTGTGTTTGCGTGTGTGTGNTTTACTGACTTTCCACGTGATTTAAAACTGTGACAAGATGGTTGACGGGAGACGAGAATCGTCAGGATGAGGTAATTTATTATTTTCATTTATTTATGTATTATAATTAATATTATTTTATGGCAAATACCTGTTAAAATATTATCAAAACGTTTAACTTGTTCCCAGAGATGTTCAAAAACAAGAAGCGGTTTTTATATTTAACGTGTGTTCAAAATCCTGCACTTTGTCAGTTCAATAGAAAGCTACATTGTTAAGATTTATGGTAGATATTGGAATCAATTTTCGCCCAAGTACATATGGACTGATGTGATATACGTCTCATTTATTGCTAGCACCTTGGTGATAATTGTTAAACGTTATAATGTTATCAATTCTCACAATATACTGGATTGAGTTTTACAATACAATACAATACATTTTATTTCGTGTCGGGTATAAATCGAAAGGAAACATTAGTTTTGCAGCTATTCATCGACTGAGTTAGGACAAACATTTCTACAAAAATGCAATATTTACACATTTTTAAGTCAAAAGGAAAGATGTTGTCTTTAAATTGTAATTAGGACCAATTCCACACCAGGGGTCTGTTTCACTGAAAGTATACAAAGAATTTAGCCAACTAAGACTTGTCTTACGAAAAATAAGCCTACCAAGACTTTCTTTTTGCCTACAAAGATGCGTTTACGCAAAGAGCATTAAAAGCCACTTTCCATGTGGTAACAATAGCCCAAAAAGATATATCAAATACAATTATTGAGGTCCACTCAAACTCAAAGACAAATATCACAAAATCGACATTCCGTAGTCATCTATTTGATTTTAGAAGTCTAAACTTAGCCCAAGAACGTAAGGCTTTCAATGAAGTATGGCTCCAGACATCTCTATATGAGGTAGACTGGAAGTTCTCTGGGTTTATTTTTATAATATGGTCCCTGGGGAGCTCCTTGCCCTCGGATCCACTAGCCCCCAGCAGGGGAAATTTTGCCTTTGTTGAATATACATTATTTTGGGAATTGTATAAGGGGAGGAGGATATATTGAGAACCATGCCTGTATACAGAGCACTATGTATTTATTGTACGTGATATGTTCTTGAAGCATATATTATGGTCTAAATGAAACTAAACAATAACAATCTATAATGTCGATATGTCAGGATATTATGACCTATGTTATAAGCATATTTATTTATTAGTTTGTTTGTTTGTTTGTTTGTTAATGGATATATAAAGTATTGAGGCAAAATGCCAAAAACGACCTTGTGAAGAATTTGTGCTCATAAATTGTCGCCTATGTCACTTACATTATGGAATTTGATTCAGAAATGCATGGTGTAATTAGCAGCATATATCGACTAGCCTCTAGGGGGTAACGTGTTTGAAATTAGATAGAGGTAATATAATTAGTGTGAAGTGCTAGGTGATAAGTCGACAGCTCATATATCTGGCGTTAACATCAGTATCTCACAATTATGGCACGGCCATATTTTAAAGTTTTGATTTAACGACTACCTTTGTTCCACTATGAATTTGTGTTTGCGTGTGTGTGTGTTTTATTGTTGTAAATAATCAAACCAAAACCTGCAACTACTTTATACGCACAAGTTGTGTAGCACAATAGTGATTATTAATACAGCACTTAGTCGACAGTGTTACAGCATCAGGTCTTTTTTTATTTCTTTTTTCTTTCTTTTTTTTTC